TCCGACCGAGGCGATAGGCCTGGGCAGGGGACCCCCAGATCCCCGTGATTGCTGGCTCCGCACCTGCCTAGGCCTAATGCCTCTGGCGGAAGCATTAGGCATGGACAGGGGACCCCCAGCTCCCCCCATCGCTGCCTCCACCCCTGTTCCCTGCAATGGCTTGTTCCGCCCCTGCCCAGGCCTAATGCCTCTGACCGAGGCGTTAGGCCTGGGCAGGGGTCCCCCAGTTCCCACCATCGCCTCCGCCCCTACCCAGACCTAATACCTCTAGCCAAGGTGTTAGGCCTGGGCAGGGGACCCCCAGCTGCCCACGATCTCCTGCTCCGCCCCTGCCTAGGCCTAACGCCTCTGGTGGAAGCATTAGGCATGGACAGGGTACACCCAGCTCCCCCCGATCGCTGACTCTGCCCCTGCTCCCTGTGATTGCTGGCTCCACCCCTGCCCAGGCCTAATGCCTCTGGCCAAGGTGTTAGGCCTGGGCAGGGGACCCCCAGCTCTCTATGATTGCTGAATCCGCCCCTGTTCCCCGTGATTGCCGGCTCTGCACCTGCCCAGGCCTAATGCCTCTGACCAAGGCATTAGGCCTGGGCAGAGGACCCCCAGCTCCCACCATCCCCAGCTCTTCCCCTACCCAGACCTAATACCTCTGGCCAAGATGTTAGGCCTGGGCAGGGGACCCCCAGCTGCCCACGACCGCTGACTCTGCCCCTGCTCCCTGCAATGGCTGGTTCCACCCCTGCCCAGGCCTAATGCCTCTGACCGAGGCGTTAGGCCTGGGCAGGGGTCCCCCAGCTCCCCACGATCTCCTGCTCCGCCCCTGCCTAGGCCTAACGCCTCTGGTGGAAGCATTAGACATGGACAGGGTACACTCAGCTCCCCCTGATCGCTGACTCTGCCCCTGCTCCCCGGGATTGCTGGCTCTGCACCTGCCCAGGCCTAATGCCTCTGACCAAGGCATTAGGCCTGGGCAGAGGACCCCCAGTTCCCACCATCGCCTCCGCCCCTACCCAGACCTAATACCTCTAGCCAAGGTGTTAGGCCTGGGCAGGGGACCCCCAGCTGCCCACGATCTCCTGCTCCGCCCCTGCCTAGGCCTAACGCCTCTGGTGGAAGCATTAGGCATGGACAGGGTACACCCAGCTCCCCCCGATCGCTGACTCTGCCCCTGCTCCCTGTGATTGCTGGCTCCACCCCTGCCCAGGCCTAATGCCTCTGGCCAAGGTGTTAGGCCTGGGCAGGGGACCCCCAGCTCCCTATGATCACTGACTCTGCCCCTGCTCGTGATGGCTGGCTCTACCCATGCCCAGGCCTAAAGCCTCTGACCGAGGCATTAGGCCTGGGCAGGGGACCCCCAGCTCCCCACGATTGCCGGCTCCGCACCTGCCCAGGCCTAATGCCTCTGACCAAGGCATTAAGCCTGGGCAGAGAACGCCCAGCTCCCACCATGCCTCCTTCCCTACCCAGACCTAATACCTCTGGCCAAGGCATTAGGCCTGAGCAGGGGACCCTCAGCCCCCCGTGATCTCTTGCTCTGCCCCTGCCTAGGCCTAATGCCTCTGACCTAGGCGTTAGGCCTGGGCAGGGGACCCCCAGCTCCCATTGCTGGCTCTGCCCCTGCTTCCCATGATCACTGGCCGGGGGTGGGCAAAGGCATCCAGTTCTCCTGCCCCTGGCTCTTGGCTGCCTCCTCGGTTTCTGATCACCAGCAGCGGCAGGTGGCTTCTTCTGTCCTTCCCCTTTCGCCTCCCAGCATTGCGCCTACGTATGCAAATTAACCGCCATCTTTGTTGGCGGTTAACCACCATCTTAGTTGGCAGTTAATTTGCATATCATCCTGATTAGCCAATGGGAAGGGTAGCGAAATTACGGTTAATTACCATGTTTGTCTATTATTAGATAGGATGATGGCTCTATTTTTCTATAAACTGAATTTCAACCAGCTTTTGGTGAAAGCACAGCTTTCTTAGAAAGCACTTATTTGCCTTATGGTTTGAAGAAATGGGAAGCCTGAAAGAAAAACCTTGTCTGTCACTCACTGTACAAACTCCCATCTGGGAGGACACAGGAACCCTGCCAGATCCATTGTGGCCGACTACCTTATGGGGATGTTTGACATATTGGACATTGATTTCTAAAACAAATGGCTCTTAACAAGGCTTATGATGAGTGCTGCTTTTAAAGTTTGGTGAACTCTGAGAAACACTGACTTACAGCAGACCAGTGTCAGGCTTGACTTAGGAATGGACCTTTAAATTCTTCTAAAACAGTAATTCTTGGTACACTTTTGAGGAGGTAACCCAAATAAGGAGTTTCTTAATGAAAATTAGCTTTTTAGATAGAGGAGAACATGAGTGTGCCCATATGTTTCTTTTTTTAGTTGGCATTCTATATAGCTCAAATTTTGATGCAGTATGTTAGGGTATTCCTATTTGTAACTAGTTACATGGGTGTTTCTGAAGCACACTAATGTTGGAGAACACGCCTTACCCAATGTTCTCCTAATGTAGCCCAGTGCATGAAATTCGTGCACATTAAAAGGGAATTAATTGCCCTAACCGGTTTGGCTCAGTGGATAGAGCATCAGCCTGCGGACTCAACGGTCCCAGGTTCGATTCTGGTCAAGGGCATGTACCTTCGTTGTGGGCACATCACCAATGGGGAGTGTGCAGGAGGCAGCTGATTGATGTTTCTCTTTCATCGATGTTTCTAACTCTCTATCCCTCTCCCTTCCTCTCTGTAAAAAATCAATAAAATATGTTTTTTTAAAAAGGGAATTAATTAGCAGAGATATTTTAACATTGCTATTTGCCCTTTCTATATAATAGAAGTGTGAGAGATGAAAGGAAATTAGTAAAATGTATATGGAAATCATATATAAATTTATTAATAAATAAACAGTAACAAAAGGATATAACAACAACAGAGGCATGATATAAAAATGACAAAAACATGATATGAAGACAACAAAAACATGATATAAAAACAACAGTGATGCAAACAATGACTGATAAAGTGATTAAACTTATTCTAATATCGCCCTGTACACCACATTAAGAGTGAAAACACTTTCAGAGTGCTTGACTAATTTCCCTTGTGATGAAGTACTTAGAACTTTAACTGTAACATCACATGCTCTTCAAACTCGAGAGAAAGCAACATATAACTGACCATGTGCGAAAACGGGTTCAGGTAGGAACATGCCTACTCTGTCTAGAGTTTGTCCTTGTTATTTATTAATAGTCATCACAAATGCTGGCATCACGGGAAACCGTCGTCGAATCAATTTAAATGGGAGGCCAGTGTCAGATGGGGAAAAATTAATCCTTTTTTTTTTTTTTTTAACACATGAATATAATTTATTAAACTCACCATACAAAGAAGATAGCACAGGAAAAAAGATAAGAACCAGAAAGGCTCATGGAAATCAACCAGTCTGAACCCCTGGTTTGATTTATTTATTTATTTTAAAATATGTTTTTATTGATTTTTTTAGAGAAAGAGGAAGGGAGAGGGGGAGATGATAGAAATATTGATGCTACAGAAGCACTGGGGATCGAGCCCACCACTCGGGCATATGCCCTGACCGGGAATCAAACCAGCAACCCCTTGGTGCATGGGATGACACTCAATCCACTGAACCAGGGCTAAACCCTTGGTTTTACCAATGAAGAAACTGCACGAAGAAACCAGAACACCAATATAGACAAAGCCAGAACGACACACAGAAACACCCAGACTTAGGCTTCTGGTCTTGAACCAAATAGAACCTAAAGACTTCATCTACGTTTGTGTTTTATTTTTCTGTGCCCTATAGTGCCACTGATGCTTTTCTCCCTCTTGATGCTACAGGAGGAGCCCTAAACAAAACACTACAGTGGCAGAGTCGTTCAGAGTCAGGAGGACAACAGACCCACATGAAGTAGAGGGGTGTAGAGGGGTTTGGAGAAGAATTCAATTCCTCCCCAAGAGTCCTGATCACCCTCTTCCCCCAAATATACATCCAGACCTGATGTCTCAGGGCAGATATACTTGCCTTCCTGAGGCAGAGATCAGGTGTTGGGGAGGAAGGGCTAAGAAGACGGTAGAGGAAAGAGAAAGATTTATAACAATGTCGTTCTGAGATGAAGTCCAGTGGGAACACTTTTCTCAGCGTCGAGCCAATCCAAACATCGCAAGAGAAGGCTATAGAACTCAGTTACTGAATCAGTTGTGAGATATAAGCAAAAACACCAATAACTTAGCAAAATAAATACAATGAGAGTCTCGCTGAGATTGACAATACCCAGTGAAAATAGATTTTAAGCTCTAAGTCAGTCAAGATTACTGAAGTGTACCTTGTACCACATCTTAGGGGAATCCCTAAGAGATTTTGGGAGTCTTCAAAGCAGAGAAGTCACACGTAACTGTCTGTGGCCCTACACAATCCTTCTGCTCAAAGCTACACCCTGAGTGTACATCCCCTTCTCCCCAGAAAGACAGGCTGGCCAGTCAAAGCTGAAGGAGACCCGGGTCAGCATGAGCTGAGGGTGGAACCGGTAAAAAAAACAGTTTGTTGCTAAGAACTGCGCTGTGTTTTGTGAGGAACCTGATTCCCCCAGGACACTGTCCAACATCTTTGTCTCCATCTTCTAGAGCTGAGGCAAATCTTGTCATCTCTTCACTTCTCCCGACTAGCTGAGGGCCCGGGGCAGCTGAACCCCAGTCTACAACAGAAGGGAGGCTCTGCTAAGAGAAAAACAGTAACTACAGGGATAAGGGTGCCACCCTGGCTCCTGCCAGCAGGGTCCTGTCTGCCAAGGGCTGCAGTGTCCAGAGGAGGCGCTCATCCTCTATCCACCCAGCAAACCGAGGACAGGAGCTCAGACTCAGGGCACAGCCCCAAGCCCTGAGGGCAGCCAACGACCAGTCAGGAAGTCAAAGTCAGTTCTAACCTCCAACAGGGGTGGTGACAGAGTTTCTCCACAGGGAGAGGCAGCAGCAACAGCATCCTCCTCCTCCTCAGCTCATGTTTCCACTCGGATGAGAGGCATGGGCTTAGGGCTGGGGGGCTTGGCTATCCTAACGCTGCCCAGATTCTCAGTCTTGGCCCAGGTCTGGGTGCTGAAGTTGGCGTGACTGACCTGCTTCTCTATCAGGTGTTCCATCCGGTCGTGCATCTCTAAATTCTCCGCTTCCAGGTAGGCCATCTTCTCCTTGAGCTCCTGGATGCTTGTGTCCTTTGACTGGATCACAGCTTTGGAATACTGGAGCTGCTCTATCATTTGCCGGACCTTCCGCTGCTGGCTTTTCAGCATGTCATCCAAGTGGTGTATCTTCTCCCGAAACCCAGCCACTTCCGTTTCCAGGTTAGCAGCCTTTTCCTGTTCTGCTTGGCAGTCAGCATTCTTGCTCCAAAGTTCTTCCAGGGCCGCCTCCCCTTCCCTGACCTTCTCCAGTAAGGCCTGATGCTCCATCTCCATCCCGAGCAAGCGCCTCTGCAGCTCTCTGATTTCCACCTCTTTCTGCTCTGCTCTGTCCTCTGCTCTCTGCAGGGCCACGTGACTCTGCTCGGCTTTTCTCTGGTATCCGCTGAGTGTGACCTCAAAAGCCACACGGTCTGCCTGGTGCTGCTGCTCAGCCTCCTGCAGCTTGGCCAGCAAGTCCCGCACGGTCTTCCTCAAGCTCTTGACATCTTCATTCATATAGGTGTCCGCCTCAGGTGGGCTGCTATACAGCGTCGTGGGACTTTGACTAAAACCATTTGGCCTCTCTAGCACCACCTGTATCTCCTGTCGATGGTGAGACTCTCCTGGATCTCTATCAAGCTTGCTTCTTATATCCTCCTGCAGCTTCTGCAGACAGTTTCTGGCCTCCTGGATGTACTGGACCTCACTCTTCAGCTGGTTAATATTCTTCTCATGGATCATCTTGTCGACCAGACCTCCCCTTCAAATACATCTAATGATCTCCTCGTGTCCATCGTTGGACTCCACCAGTTCTGAGGCCAGAGAATGACTGGGTGAGTGGCCAGGCACCATGGCATAGGTCTTCCTGCCGCCTTCAGGGTGGAGAGTAGTTAATGCCTATAAAGGGACAAGAGGAAACACTTCTGTAGTTGCTGGTAATGACTTGTTTCTTATCTGAGTGCTGGTTAGAGGAGTGGGTCCAGTTTGTGAAAATTGCTTGACTGTACATTTATGACATATGTACTTTCATGGATGGATGTTATTGGTTTTTTTTTAAATTAAATCTTTATTGTTCAGATTATTACAGTTGTTCCTCTTTTTTCCCCCCATAGCTCTCCTCCACCCAGTTCCCACCCCACCCTGTTCCCTTACCCCTCCCACTGTCCTCATCCATAGGTGTACGATTTTTGTGCAGTCTCTTCCTGCACCCCCACACCCCTTTCCACCCAAGAATTGTCAGTCCACTCCCTTTTCATGACCCAGGTTCTATTATATTCACCAGTTTACTCTGTTCATCAGATTTTTTATTCACTTGATTTTTAGATTCACTTGTTGATAGATATGTATTTGCTGTTCATAATTTTTATCTTTACCTTTTTCTTCTTCTTCCTCTTCTTAAAGGATACCTTTCAGCATTTCATATAATGCTGGTTTGGTGGTGATGAACTCCTTTAGCTTTTCCTTATCTGTGAAGCTCTTTATCTGACCTTCAATTCTGAATGATAGCTTTGCTGGGTAGAGTAATTGGTTGTAGGTTCTTGCTATTCATCACTTTGAATATTTCTTGCCACTCCCTTCTGGCCTGCATAGTTTCTGTTGAGAAATCAGCTGACAGTCTTATGGGTGGTCCCTGGTAGATAACTGACATTTTTTCTCTTGCTGCTTTTAAGATTCTCTTTGTCTTTTGCTCTTGGCATTTTAATTATGATGTGTCTTGGTGTGGCCCTCTTTGGATTCCTTTTGTTTGGGGTTCTCTGTGCTTCCTGGACTTGTAAGTCTATTTCTTTCACCAGGTAGGGGAAATTTTCTTTTTTCTTTTTTTTTAATTTTCATGTCTTTATTTAGTCAACAGCTTTCTTTTTTTTAAGGTTTTCATGCATCAATATAAATTACTCTGATGTGTTTTGCCTCGCTCTTCAACTGCTCTCCTAGGCAGCTGAAGTTGGCCAGGAGTTGTGCACACATTCCTGTGACCCCGTTGTTCCTGTGGTAATACTTTAAACAATAAAAAAAATAAAAAAAAATACCCTCCCCTCCTCCTCACTTCTATGTTCATTCCTACTCAGGAACACAGGGGCACTCTGCAAATTAGCAAACCACTTGCTCTTCTTTCACACAACTTCCAGGTAGGGGAAATTTTCTGTCATTATTTCTTCAAATAGGTTTTCAATATCTTGCCCTCTCTCTTCTTCTGGCACCCCTATAATTCGGATGTTGGTACACTTGAAGTTGTCCCAGAGGCTCCTTACACTATCTTCACATTTTTGGATTCTTTTTTCTTTTTGCTTTTCCGGTTGGGCATTTTTTGTTTCTTTTTATTTCAAATCTTTGACTTGATTCTTGGGATCCTCTTGTCTGCTGTTGGATCTCTGTATATTATTCTTTATTTCAGTCAGTGTATGCTTAATTTCTAGCTAGTCTTTTTACATATCCTCCAGGGTCTCACTAAATTTATCAGCGGTTTCCAGAAAATTCTTGAAAGACGTTATAAGTGTGGTTTTGAACTCTATATTCAGTCCTTTGCATTCCTCCATTTCTGTCATTTGTGGTCTGTTTCTTTGTCTCCGCATTTTTTATGCTTCCCTGTGTTGGTAGAGTGGCTTTGTGTGCTAGGTGTCCTATAGGGCCCAGTGGCTCAGCCTCCCCAATTACCTGAGGTGGACACTGTTGGTGCACCCCTTTGTGGGCTTTGTGCACAGTCTTGTTGTAGTTAAGCCTTGATATTTGTAGTTATCACTGGGAGGAATTGACCTCCAGGCCAATTGGCTGTGAGAATCAGCTGTGTCTACAGTGGGAGAACTTCTGTGCTAAAGACACCCTTCTGGGGCAAGACTTGCTTTGGTGGGGCTTTGGTGCTCACTGAGTCTGCCCCCTGAGTGTGTCCCTTATGGATCTGAGGAGTTGTAGTCTGGATGGTCCCACTCTGACCACTGGGTACACTAGCTCTTGGATCTAAGGAAGTGCTAATTTAGCCTCTGCCTGAAGCTACCCAGCAGGAGGTACCAAGAGATCTGCAGATTCCCCTTCCTTTTTTGGGGTTTGGAGGTGCCCAGATGAGGCCCAGCTGTGAAGCAATGCAAGCTGCTCTGGCGCCTTGGGCTTTCTCTTGGAAGTTCTGGGTCTGTCTGGCCCAGCTGCAGTTTGTTAGGTAATTTTCAGATTGCAAAGGGCCAAGGCATTCATATGCAAAAGCCTCTGCCACAGCCTGGGTGGGGCAGGGTATCAGGGAATCAACAGGGTGGAGCAAGCAGCTATGGCTGATCCTCAGCCCTGCCCTAAGGGGCCCCGAGTCTCAGTGTCCCGGTAATCGCTGCAAGCACCTCTGAGGGAAAGCCGCCCTCAAGTTCTGAGTTCTGCCCACTGCCAGATAGTCCAGTTTCTCCCCGTATGAGTCCTGGGTCCCCAGAGACTTCCCGGAACTGGAGTTCAGAGCAGTCGGGGGCTTGTGACTCCCTCCCAATTCAAAAAGACAGCCTCGTCCTCAGTTGCCAGCCCTTGCTGCGCGCGCTCAAGCCGCTGTACCTCTGCGCTTTACTTCCGCAGCTCCTCTGAGTCTCAGTGTGCTTTTCTCTTTCCTTCTAGTTGTAGAATTTCCACTCAGCCAGCTTTCCTGTGGTTCTGGATGATGTTTTGTCTTTTAGTTGTATTTTTGAAGTGGTTGTGCAAGGCAGAAATTTCAGGTGTTTACCTATGCCGCTATCTTGGTTTCTCCCCACCTTCATTTTTATTAAAGAGCCACATTCAGACCAATTTATTTACTACATTGTCTAGTTTCAATTTGGCCTGGTTATTTGCATAAACACTATAAGAATAGCAATTGATCATATAGGCTTTTAATTAATTTATTAATTTATTTATTTTAAATCCTCACCTGAGGATATTTTTCCATTGATTTTTATAGAGAGTGGGATGGAGAGAGAGAGAAACATTGATGTGAGAGAGACATATCGCTTGCTTGCCTCCTGCACATGCCCTGACCAGGAACCAGACTGGGGAGGAGCCTGAAACCGAGGTACATGCCCTTGACTAGAATAGAACCCAGGACCCCTCATTCTCCAGACCTATGTTCTATCCACTGAGAAAAACTGGCTAGGGCCACATAGACTTTTAAAAACCTGCTGGTTTGGCTCAGTGGATAGAGTGTCAACCTGTGGACTGAAGGGTCCCAAGTTCGATTCCAGTCAAGGGCACATATGTGGGTTGTGGGCTTGAGCCCCAGTGGGGGGCATGCAAGAGGTAGCTAATCAATGATTCTCTCTCATCATTGATGTTTCTATCTCTTTCTCCCTCTCCCTTCCTCTCTGAAACCAATAAGTATATATTAAAAAAATAAAAATAAATAAAAACCTGCTTTTCTGGAATGTCATAATTGAGCTTTAATTAGCCCCTGAGGGTAAAGAAGCTGAGCCACCTAGTTGCCATCAGGTTTGCTTGTAAGTCCTATAGGTTTAGTTGTATTCCTCAAGTTTTTGAGGTTCCCAAAATGTCTTGAAGTTTTTTTCTGGCCATCTCTCAGGAAAGCAACCTTCGTTCCTTACCTGGAAAGAATGCCATGAACCCAATAATCAAGCAAGATACCAGTATTTCACCAAGGGAGTCTTATTAGCATCAGGATCAGTCTTAATTTCTTAAAGCTTTCTGTTGACATCCAGAGTTCAAGCATGTCTCTCTCAGACATTACTTTCCAGTCAAAGTCTTGGGTAATAAAACCACAATTGAAAACTGATCTTATTGAATTCATGCAAACAAGCATATTGCCATGACTCAGTCATTAAGAATTTCCAAATTGCTCTAGCTGGTTTTGCTCAGTGGATGGAGCGTTGGCTGCGGACTCAAGGATCCCAGGTTCAATTCCAGTCAAGGGCATGTACCTTGGTTGCGGGCACATCCCCAGTGGGGAGTGTGCAGGAGGCAGATGATAGAAACATCTATCATCGATGTTTCTAACTATCCCTCTTCCTTCCTCTCTGTAAAAATCAATAAAATATATTTTTAAAAAAAGAATTGCCAAATTGCCCTGGCCAGTTTGGCTCAGTAGATAGAGCCTTTGGCCTGCAAACCAAAGGGTCCCGGGTTTGATTCTGGTCAAGGGCATGTACCTCAGTTACAGGCTCCTCCTGGCCTGGGCATTGGTCAGGGCAAATGCAGGAAGCAACAAATCAATATGTTTCTCTTACATCAGTGTTTCTCTCTGTCTTTCCCTCTCTCTTCCACTCTCTCTAAAATTAATGGAGAGATAAAAAATGGCAACAGAGTAAGTGGATGCTGCATGGACATGCTCCCAGGAACAAACTGGAATTACAACTAAAATACAGAAAAACTTTCTGAATAATCAACGGAAAACATGCAGGAGAGAACCCTGATACTCCAGGACCGAAAGTAGAGACCGCATAGAGACTGGTAGGAGGGGTGGAGGTGCAAAAGGGTTGGCCGAGTGCCCACAGACAGCAACTGAAGTCTCAGAGCGATATCTCAGCTGTGGGAGGTTGTCACTGACAACTATGAGATCTCATCTCCAAACTGGGACCCCCAGCAGAGAGCATCAGAACTGAAAAGGGTACCCACATAACATCTGGCAGTGAAAAGCAGCAGGGTGCTGTCTACCAGGGAGTAACAGCTGAAAATTCAGGCACCTCTTAAAGGGCCAATGCACAAAATTCCCTGTTTAGCCAGCCACCTTGTGCTCTGGCAGAGGGAGGGTGAAATGGACTGGAGCTGTGAGAGCAGAAGCCAGGACTGGGGACTCAGAGGATAGAGCTCAGAAGGCAGACACCCCAAGTTTTTTGGCTGAGTCATTCCTCATGCAACAGAGGCCATCTTTCCCACATAGACATTTGCCTCACCTGCAGGGAAGACAGTTGACACACCCTATTGGAAAATACCTTGCTCTGAGGCCATTTAAAAGATTAAAAATAACAATTAGCTTCCGGGCAGAAGAAATTGCCCCACCCTTTGAAGAAACCTTTCACCACACCTGAGGACGATTGCCTGGGGGACAACTCAAGTAGGAATCCTATCAGTCTGTAGGCAGAGGTGGTCTCTGGAGGCTTTTTTTTTTTCTCAGAGCAGCAACTTAGATGCATTTATTTCCTCCAGAGCCTAGCAGGCTGGGAGCAGAATACAAAGGCCCTGGGGCATGTATGGGCCTATTATGACCTGGAGTTCAGATGCCTGGGTGGTTAACTGAACAGGTGTGCCTGGGTGCAGAGGGTCTAGGGTGATTTCTCCCAGAACTTAGAGAAGGACCTTTGGGGTGTGGAAGCAACACAACTTGGCACAGATGCATGAGAAGGGTTGTGGGGTGGGTGTGCTGAAGGTGGAGTGATCTATGGGGCAGGGTATGTTAGAGTCTTAGAGCCACTTGGGGCATGGCATGTTGGGGCATGTTGAGCCTAGCTGTTGTCTGAAAAGCTAGTTGCCAACAGCTGGGAAAATGGAAAAGCTGGTGGGTCAGCAGGACCCACAAAGACATGACTGCAAACAGGATCAGCCCTGGGAAAGACCAAAATGTGCAAGGTGACTCCTAATGTGAGGTGATGAGGAGAGAGGTCTGGGGTTCCCACTCAGGAATGCATAATTAGCTGTGTTATGCCCAGATTTCAGGATCCCCAAAAGACCACCAGGGAGCCAGCCGAGTCCGATGCAAAAGCAAAGAGTCTTTATTCGAGCTAGCTCGAGCTCCCTGTCCACCACACTCATGACGCAGCGGCAGGAGGAAGAGAGACAGAGTGAGCTCTGTGTGGAGAGGGGTTTTATAGGGGGGTTGGAGTAAGGGGAGGAGAGAGGACTGTGGGCCCTGCCGATTGGCCGGGCGCAAGTGGGTGTCTTGTTACACAGGATGTGGTCGTATCTATGGCATGCACTTCCCTTGATTATCATTGGTTAGTTTAAAGAAATCCTACGTGTGGCTAGCAGAGGCTTTGGCTTCCGGGAAGAAGCTCCTTGCTGAGCACATGGCTAATGGC